GGGGGAAAGGGATCACACTTTATCACCTTACTGGTGGTCTTGGGTTAAAGTTGCTTGCCTTCTTGTTCTGTTAGAAGATATTTTCCTGGAATTTACTCCCCTCTGGACTTCAAAGTGTTTTCCCAGGTGGCTCCAGTGGGGATGACTGACTGAACCCTGAGGCTCCATCCTCCTTTGCTCCCTTAGCTGGCAGTTGTATTTCCTTTTTGTCTCTGGAACTGGATTCAGGGTCAGGTCTGGAGTAAAACTCAGTGTTAAGGTTACCCATAGGAAAGGGAGCAAACCTAGAGAGAACAAACTTGTGAATTACAAATAGAAGGGCTTTGGGGGTGTTACAGGTATACTGGGGGAGAGGGTAGGAGAGTAGCCTAGATAAAATTCTCTGTACACCTTAGGCAGCTTTTTTCTACCCAGACGTCGGATGGTACAACCTGAGGGCTAAGGAGCTGGCCCCAAGCCGAGGGCTGAAGATGGCTTGCCCCAAGCTGAGGGCCCAAGACGGCTCACCCCGAACTTGAGGGCCCAAGACAGCTCACCCCAAGGGCCAGACACTCCCCAAGGGCCAAATAGCCCACCCCAAGGGCTGGACTGTACCCCCGAGGGCCAGGCGACACACCCTAGGGGCTGACTGGCACAAAGTCCCCCCCAAATCCAGACCCCACACCTGGCAGAAGACCATGTGGCCAGGGACAGCATCCACAACCTTTACCCTGCCTCCAATAAGTGGCCATACTGTAATTTGACGTAGGTGTCACTGCCCTCCCCCTTTATAAATGGAGACGGGAACCTGAGTGTGGTGAGCAGACTTCCCCCAGGTCTAAACGGTTCTTGGAAAAGGCATTCAACAGATCAAAAGGTGTGGTGCATTTAGGATATCTGCTGTCTTGTACATGCTGCCACTGTTAAGTGTTGTCAAGTTGTAGACAGCTCACAGTGACTTTCATCAATCCATGGTATAGGTGATCTTCTTCTCTGGCCTGCCCAAGGAAACCCAAACCTGCTGCTGGATCTCCCGCTGCCGCCATCTTGGCTCCAAGAATTCTCCCCAGAACAAGTCCACTCTGCGGTGATGTAGTGGCTCTGCTGCACCAGCCGGGGGGGGGGACAGTGCCCACCATCCATCACAAGTGAGGGGATCCCTGGGGTCCGGTGGTGGGAGCCTCGTGGAGCTGTGGTGGCAGCGCGGGCCCTGCAGCAGGGAGCCGCAGGACTCACCCATTCCTCCCTTAATCTCCTGATGCTGAGCCTCAATCCACACCGAAGACCAGTCATCAACTGTTTAACTGTTCAAGTATCAATAAACAGAGGTCTGTAGAAGGCCTCCAAGTGATCTGCTGCTCCTGCAGCTCGCCACACTGCCTCTGCTGCCATCTTGCAGTCCCTCAATCCTTGTCTTATTTTTACAATCTCTCTTAAGTTCTGTTTTTTGGAGAATAACTTGATCTCTCCTTCATATTTAATGAGCAGTTTTGCTGGGTAACTAAGCCAGATCAAGGTGCCCTGGATTAAAGACAAGTTGATTGACTGGATGTGTAGGCTTGGGTGTGGATCTGAATGGAGGACAGGGCAGGCACCAGGGATGGGGTGATCATGTGTCGGGCACCTACTGTTCAGATTCACGTGCCATGTCGGCTGTTCTCAAGTGCCAGGGATGGGGTGATCATGGGGGCAGGTCAGCCACTTATGGAACCTCACTCAGATATCAGCTGTCCGGATGTGCTCACAGTTGGGGTCCATACTCAAATTCTAGCTATCCATCTCCCACCCACCAGCACTTGCTCAGTGGTCCTTTCCTGGTCCTCAACAAGGTGTCCTCTCCCAGCATGGTTTATGAAAACTCAGTCAAATTCCCACTGACCTACTTGCTCCTGGCAGCTTAGTGGGGCCCAAGAAAACTCAGTCAAATTTTCACTGGCCCGCTCACTCCTGTTGAGTTGATGTGGCTTAAGAAAACTCAGTTAAATTCCCACCCACCCTCTTGCTCCTGGCTGGTCGGCAGGGCCCAAGAAAACTCAGTCAAATTCCCACTGACCTGCTCGCCTCTGGCGGGTCGATGTGTCTTAAGAAAACTCGTTCAATTTCCCACTGACCTGCTTGCTCCTGGTGAGTGGGTCCCACAGCAGCTTGGCTGATGGCTTCCATTGGGGCCCACATCTCACTGCTCCTGTGGCTCCCAATCTAATTATTTTAATAAAAGTTCTGACTAAAATTCCTACTGTGCCTGTCACACCACGTTGGTCTCTGTGCACCACATCTGTCCATCTTTGAGGTTTTGTGTAGTTTATTCTGTTAAATTGTTTCTAATGGTAAATGTCCAGTTTGAGGTTAATGATGCAACATTTATAATTCTTGCTAGGTATGAAAGAAGAATCCTGGTGGTGCCATGGTTAAAAGAATTGGTTGCTAACTAAAAGATCAACAGTTAGAACCCACTAGCCATTCCACAGGAGAAAAAAACCTCTATGAAATAGTTCTACTCGGTTCTATAGGATTGTTATTAGTTGCAATCAACTAGATGACAATGGGTTTGATGGTTCTTTTTAGCCATGAAAGCACTATCTTACTATAGCTTTCCTAGGACCAGAAAAAAAGGGAGAAAATGTGTTTTTTTTTATTTTACCAAATATATAAAATACTTCTAGTGTTTTGTACTTTCAGTTAAAGATGCCAATTGTTTTCCAACATTTTGAAAGAAATTGTATAGGTTTTCACTTGCCTTTAAATAACCTTAAGTATTTGAGGCTATTGGTAAGCAATTATCTAAGGACACAAAGGAGGTCTTTTAGTATTTAGTTGTTGTTGGCTATATACAATCAAGTCAGAACCAACTTGTAGTTGATCCTCCAGTGGATTTTTAGGCAGTTAATCACAGGAAAGGAGATTGCTTATCTTTCTCCCACAGAGCAACTGGTGGACTTGGTCTCCATGCCTTTGGGTTGACAGTACAACCAGAGACACTAGAGCTCCGTTTTAGTACTTAGTAAGGTCTCTTTTTATTTTTCTATTACTTAATGGTATAAAAAATACCATCCATGAAGAATGCCAAAGGTCATTACAAAGACAGGAGGAGGAAAAGACCAAGATGCATGTCAGAAGATATTCTAAATATTGCACTAGATTGTTGAGAAACCAAAACAAAGGGAAGAAAGCAGGAAGTTAAGGAGCTGAACAGACAATTTCAGCGGGCTGCTGAGGAAGCCAAAGCAAAGTATTGTGATGAAATGTGCAAAGAGTTAAAGTTGGAAAATCAAAAGGGCTGAACTTGCTCAGCATTTTTTAAGCTGAAGGCACTAAAAACCAAACTGAAGCCTTGAGTTGCCATACTTAAGGGTAAAATATTGAATAATCCAGGCAACATTAAAAGAAGATGGAAGGAGTATACACAGATATACCAAAAGAATATATTCTTCTTCCAACTCCCCATTTCAGTCCTGCTTTATAACAGTGGTATTATGCAGTATTTGTCCTTTTGAGGATGAGATATTTCACTTAGCATAATGTTCTCCAAGATCACCCATGTAGGGATCACAACAAATTGTTGCTAACTTTGAGGAGAATGAAAATCCCAGAACACTTGTTTGTCCTCATGTAAAATCTCTTCTTTGGCCAGGAAGCAATCCTCAGAACAGAGCAAGGAAACACTGTATGCTTCAAAATCAGGATCAGGAAAGAATGTATCACATTTTCATACCTTTTCAATATGTAGACAGAACAGATAGTTTGTGAGGTGGGGCTTTATGGGGAGAAATGTGGCATCAGGATTGGAGGAAGACTCATCAACAACCTGTGTTATGCAGATGACAGAACCTTCCTTGACGAAACTGAGGAGGACCTGAAACATTCGCTGCAGACTGTCAAGGACTGTAATCTTCAATATAGTTTCAAGCTCAACATCTAGAAGAGAAAGATTCTCGCCATGGGGACAGCTGACAGCACCGTGATAGATGAAGAAGAGATTGAGGTTGTTAGCAATTTCATCTTGCTCAGCTCCACGGACAACACTCTTGGCACCAGCAGTCTTGAAATAAAAAAAGTGGATTGCATTGGGGAAGTTGGCTGTTGGGGACCTCTCTAAAATCCTAAAGAGTAATGATGTCAATCTAGGAACTAAGGTGCACCTGATCCAGACCATGGGCTTTGTAGTTAACTTGCTGTGCATCAGAGAGCTGAACAGTGAATAAGGATGACGGAAGGATTGGTGCCTTTGAGTTGTGGTGCTGGTGTAGAATATTATACAAGCCCTTGACTGCCAAGGGAATAAACAGGTATGTCCTGGAGAGGGTGAAACCAAGTTTCTCCTTAGAGGCACTGATTGTGAAGCTCCCTCTCACATGCTTTGGTAACGTGGCCAGGAGGAACCAGTCCCAGGAGAAGGACATCATGCTTGGAAGGGCAGAGGGACAGCGCAGAAGAGAAAGACTCCAGATGAGATGGATTGACATAGTAACTAGGGTAGTGTGTCAGAGTCAATGAGACTGGCTCAGGATAGGGAAGGGTTCAGAGCTATTGTAATAGAGTCACTATGAGTTGAAGGTGATGCAATCGCACATAACAACAACAACAACTTGTAACCTTTAAAGAAGCCCTGATGATGTAATGTGTTACACATTGTCTACTAACCAAAAGGTTAGTGGTTCAAATCCACAATAAAAAGATCAGGTAGTCTTGTCCTGTAAAGATTTAATCTCAGTGACCCAAAGAATGGTCATTGTAAGTTAGGATGAACTTAGTGGCAGTGAGTTTGGTTGTTGGACACAAACATTAAGATATAAATTCACATAAATTAGTTATACTTTCTTCACTCAATTAATTTTAGCAACCAGATACTGAGGTTTGTTGCAGAATTTTTGGCATAAAGTATATGTGGGCTTAGGGATACTTTGAGTTAAGGCAAAATTTAAACATTAGTTAATATAATTCATGTGTTTCAGAATTTTTACATTAGATTGTTGTCTTCTCTACCATATTTTAAACTCTCTTCTTTTTTATTGTTCTTCCAGATGAATTGTGTGGGTTGATAGCCATTGCTGATACAGTGAAGCCTGAAGCAGAATTGGCTGTCCGTATTCTAAAATCTATGGGCTTAGAAGTAGTTCTGATGACTGGAGACAACAGTAAAACAGCTAGATCCATTGCTTCTCAGGTAATTAGTTTATTTAGTTATTAGACAAATCTCTTCCTTCATGATTTACAACCTCTAAAATTTTGCTGTGAGTCAGCTGCAACTCAACAAGTTATTTGGATTAGGAGTGTGTTGGTGTTGTTGATTGCCTTTGAGTCACTCAGGACTCAGCAAACCTATGAACCAAAACCCTGAAGCCCCTCTACAACTATCAGCATAGTAACTTTGTAATTCTTTGTATGTACTCTTTTTTTGCCTTTAGACTTTAAAAGAGTTAATATTACTTACTGTTTCATTATCCTTAAGTACTCCTAGCTCATTCCTTAAAGAAGCTTGTCATGCTAAAAGGTCTTTGCAATTTATCTCTGTTACAAGTAACAGCTATTTGCTTAGTTCATGGATTGTTGAGTGGCACTGTACACTAGTTTCTGTTGATGTTTCTACTGAAATGCTTCTCATATGCTTCCTGAATACTGACAACATGAATCAAGCTATCATAATCTCATGCCTAAAGCATGACAGTAGCTTCATGCACTTACCTCACTAGTCCATTTTGAACAACATTGATGGAACACTCTTCCAAATGCATCACTTTGACATCATTTCTCTGCTATTGGCCCCAAATATGCCTTCCCTTCAAAACTATTATTTTTCATTTTGAAATGTCTTCTCCACTTTTATAAATAATACCAGCCATATGGGAATACATTTTTGTATTAAAAATACAGAGAGATATAAAATAAAAAGCTTAAGTCATCCTTTTACTAAGCATCCTGTTCAGTACTACTCACTCAGACTTTTCCATATATGCTCATTTGCTTTAATGTGTAGTTCTGGTATGTTCAGCATAAACTGGATCACTTTGTAAAGATTATTTAGCAGCCTACTTTCTTTTAATGTAACACTATGTTTTTGACAATGTAACTTGCCAGGACCTGAACGTATAAACTGATTTATACATTGATTTTATTACGTTGATGCATAGAATTTTGTCATGTGGATATATCATAATTTATTTAACCATTCTCCTAATTGAAAAAATCTGGGTTTTTAAAACTTTGTTACAAATAGGGCAAAAATAAACATTTTTGGATGTACATGCTGGAGAAGGGTGCTGAATGTACCATGGACTGCCAGGAAAACAAACAGATTCATCTTGGAGAGGATTAAACCAAGCTACTCCTTGGAGGCAAAGATTCTGGGGCTTCATCTGACATACTTTGGACATATTGCCAGGAGGGACGGGTCCTTGGAGAGGGACATCATGCTTGGAAGGGTGGAGGGACAGCGCAGGAGGGGAAGACCCTGTATGAGATGGATTGATTCGGTGACTGGGGTAATTGGGATGGGTGTGTCAGAGGCAGTGCGGTTGGCGCAGGACAGAGCAGGGTTTAGAGCTGTTGTGCATAGGGTCGCTATGAGTGGGAAACGACTCTACGGCACATAACAGTAACAACAACAACAACATGTTTCTGTACATGTATTCTCATACATGTACGTGTATTCATTCTTTGAACTATGGTGTTGGAGAAGAGTACTGAATGTTTTTCGAGAAAGTAGCTAGGGTGCTACTTGAAGGCAAAGATGATAAAGCTTTTTCTCATATACTTCGGGCATGTTGCAAGGACAGGTTATTCCTTGAAGGAGGACATCATGCTTGGAAAGGTGGAAGGACAGTGGAGGAAAGGAAGACCCTTAACCAGGAAGACTGATAACAGTGACTGCAGCAATGGACTCGATTGGATCAGAGTTTGTGAGTTGGCACAGGATAGGACAGGGTTCAGATCTGTTGTTGATAGTGTCTCTGTGAGTTATATTCAACTCAATATCACCTAACAACAACAACAACACTTCTCATTAACTCATTGCCATTGATTTGGATCCAACCCATAACTCCCCCTCTGGAGGTCAGAAGCTATAAATCACATGACAGAAGATTGACCATCTTTCTTCAGGGGAGAAGCTGGTGACATGTATTGTTGTTGTTATGTGCCATCGAGTCGTTTCCGACTCATAGCGACCCTATGCACAACAGCTCTAAACCCTGCTCTATCCTGCGCCAACC